GAAAAACTATAAAGCAGTGAAGGAAGGAGGGGAAGAAAATGTTTTTAATAAGCTCATGAAACAAAAACTAATTGTCAAAATGATATAGTCCAATAAACATAAGAAAACAATGCAAAAAGCAATTATTAAATATGTAGTTCTCATTTAGTGCGTCACTCTATATTATAGATTTATTCTTTTACTGAATATTGCACACTCTGCCAAATTAGTTTAATTATTAGTTTGAATGCACTCGAATTTAGAACATAAGACACAGGCTGACACAGGTATGTGGATATATCTGATGATTCAAGACAATTTAAATTCTATGTTAMTTTTGTTTTGAAGACACGGTCAAATCAAAAAATTGTAAAACTCAATAGTTTAATTAAAGTTTTTGATTAATTAAATCAATGTTAAATACAAATTCATTATATACGCGCTTTTTATCTAACCGAAAGAGAAGATCCAAAAGATGGTCCTGTGCGACAGAACTTCCACTCAACACTCTGACCTAAAGAAATTTCTTCTTATTCATCTTATGCTGGCTGTTATAGGTTTTGTATGGATTTTATCGGCTGGATAATAAGGATTTGTCCGGTGGAAAGCGCTATTCACACTTCGTACACGGTCCTTTCTTGTCGGCAACTTTGATCTTTACTATAATGTCACATGTAAGTCTGTCTAAACGTTTGAATGTTATACCTGCATTGTCTACAGTCATTTTGTACCGGTAAGGGTGGTGACTACATTGTCTAAGTAATTGATCATTATTTACAACGTGATTCCTGTTGGCAAACTAAAATATTATGATCACTTCTGTGCTTCGTCTCTTCTTCTAAGTATCCTAACAGTATCCGTGAAATTGATCTAGACTGAGGCACTCTAACATGTACAGTTAGCCCGTGAAACAAAATGTATTGTTAATATTCCATGAACACACAATATAATAATGAACAAAACGAGTTTAGTGCCTCGCTCTATGATTACAGATTTCTACAGTTTCACTGCACAACCTTAASAATTGACAGCATACTAAAATAGCGGTTGMCTAATATGTCATCATATCTGATTATATGCATCCAAAATATTCTATATCTTATGTAATAGTTAAGATTTGTTTTGACTATTGTATTACAATTGTACTACATTGTTATTATAGCTGATACGACTCTTTAATTGTTGACTGACGCCTCTTTTTAGAAGTGCCAAAATGGCCGCCCCCTCATTAGCATAGTTTTTCTTCTCAACACCAGACAAAATGAACCTTGAAATACTTAGAGAGAAACGAAAAATGCCCTAAAAAACCTCACTAGATTCCATAGAGATCCGTACTTTTTAAATCACAGAAAATGTCTGGGGTACGGCTTTTACATTTCTATGTAAATTTTTCCGTTTTATTTGAAGTTAGTAGGATTTTATACAGCTTTTAAAATGAACCATATTCTCAAACAGTACTTTTAGTTATCACTTTGTCTCAGGTCGAAAAACTATCCTTATACGAGGCCATTTCTACAAAGGATCTATTTTCTGAGCACTAGAATTCATTTCAAGGGTTGTGAAAATGACYTCCCTTAACAATAAATCATCATAAATCATCATACCTCTTCCTTGCTTGACCAATYTCTGCTGAGAGACTTGAAACAAGCGATTGGCAATGACTTTCAATAGAAAAACGCGTATTTGGAAGTTTTTGATTGGTTCGTTTGGCTTTGAATATAGACGCGTATTCCAGATACCAGTTTTATGCGCAGACAGCTTTGAGCAAGAAGTGTGAGGATCTTTCACAGTTTAAGTACAACTAGGTATGATTTTTTGAGCTTGAATGACACTACAGAGTCTGGAATCCGAGAAAAATCCGCATTCCAGACACTTTGAATCAGGAATCCGCAGCAATAAAACCAGAATCCGATAAAACTAGAGGGAATCCGGAATCCAAATTTGTATTTCAAAAGTCACTGACGGCAAAAAAAGAAAAAAAAAATCTAGGTACTCCCATATATTTGCTATACGGGGACGTGCCTCTGGCCAGGGTATGGTTTTTGGCCTTGCTGTCTTAAACAGGGTATACATTTCACCCGAAATTGTCTTAAA